GCTGTTTGAAACTCGACTCTCGTCGCAGGGCAATAAAAATTGCGTATTGCCCGTGGGCAATACGGGAAAATCCTGCCTCGTCAGCAGCCAATCAAATTGCGCGATTCATTAAAACAAATGCTTGCCATATAATAATAATAAGTACTTGTAGCAACACAAATTTCATCGAAACAGCTAAGAAAACAAGCCATTTGAACTCTTTCTTACTGGCAACCGTAAGTTTTGGCGGGAAAATTTTTTGATTTGTTTACTTGTTTCAAAACATAACTAAAGATGAATTTAACGTCCTTAATACCATATTCTAAACACATATCATATAAACGGGGTTATAAACATTTTTTTCTGGGGGTGGGGGTTACCGAATTAAAAGTAGTTCTAAAGCGATTGTTAAACATGCTTTTCCGTAAACAATATTCGGTGACGAAACCAACTCTAAACGAAGAAATCTAGCAAATAAAACTTAGCTCAAAAATACCTTTATAGCGCTCAAACAAATATATGAAAATCAGAAAATGTGTTTAAGGAGCCAATATAATAAACGGTTTATTAACCTCGTTTTGCTCGATCTGTACGGGAAAGTATTTGCCTTCGGTTTATCTGCACAGACCTCGCTCCTTCGTCGCTCGGCCTGTACGAAAACCTCAGGCAAATACTTTCCCGTACAGACCTCGCTCTCGGTTACTAACCCTTTAATACATGACTACCTGATTATCTGCATGCATATTACTGTTTAATACAAATGTTACGGAGTAATTTGTATTTTACTTTAATTTTTTCTTCTTTTTTTTTTTAGGAAAAGTGGGTTTTAAACACTGTATACTTTCGGACCTTGTCATACCAATTCAATTTCAACATTATTAACATTTTATTTACTGTACATTTCCTGACTTTAGAGGCTGATTTTCTCAATTGTCATTTTTGTCATTCTAACAAACAAGATCACTGCAGGTATAACTAATAATTAAATATTTTAAAAAAATTAAAATTTTGTGCAAAGCCGCCATGTTTTGTGAACTATGAATTGAGTAAATCAGTATTACCTTCGACATACATACTTTTGCTACCTCTGAGTACGCATGCTACACATTATTAAGAAACTCCTGTCGAACACCTCCACCAGGAAATATTTATTCACCACGATTGCCGGAAATATTACTTCCACAGAGAAATATTATGTAGCCAGTTTTCCGAGCGGAAGGGCTGCAAATAATCAACTATCCTGAAATATCCAAAACCCATAGAAAACATTGCGTATGACTTCTGTAAGAAAGTCTTGTCACATGGTACAAATGCCGTTTGTCTATTGAAAAACTTAAAGCTGAGATATATATTGTGTCCGACGTTTCGTGCCACAATTAGCGAGGTTTACAACATGTGATCGAAAATGAGGGAAAAGCAATACCTGCACGTGTTTAAAAAATGAATGCTTTTAGTAGATTCCTTGATTTACGATGAAAAAACATTTGCCGTGAGTTTCAAACAGAGGTGTAGCAAGCGAGTGGGGGAGGGATCCAATTGTCGAATATACAGAACAATTATGCATGCGGTTCGATCGGCCGTCTGATCCACTAGAAAATATTTCTATTTTAGGGAAAAGCCTTTTGATGCATTTTAGACACGCTTTATGACAATCTGAAAGCCACAGATTTGGTATATCATAGATGAAAGGATTATGAGTTCACGCCTCTTCAGTTTTGGAAGAATTACAAAATTTGTCCTGAAGGAAAGTTGCGGGTCCTAAGCCACAAACCCTCTATGGTTATGCCCCTGATTTGACCTTTTAATAGCTACGATTTATTGTATGACTAATTTTACGTATCCTAGATATTGACGAATGTGCTACTGGAACAGACAATTGTCATGCTGATGCGACCTGCACTAATACAAATGGTTCTTTTGTCTGTGAATGTAAGGAAGGTTTCACAGGCGATGGCGTAGTTTGCCAAGGTATTGAAGAGTTTTAAAACTGTTTTTATATAACCTCAGGTCCACAAATAACAGAACTATGTCTTTATTATTTCCACGACAAAAGTACTGGATAAAATAAGAAACGGCTTTAAAACAAGATAATTTATTTGGAGTGGTACTTGTGATCTAATTATTCTAAAAAGTGTTCTAATTGTTTTTGTTGTAAAAACAAGTAGTATAGGGGAGAGGAGTTCTGGCGCTGGTGGTGCACTAAGCACCACCCATGACGTCATTACAGTGTATTTCATATCATTTACATGCGCTTGTAAAGTATCTAAAGAGTGTGGGTCAATGATTACCAGCATTTAAAGAAAAATTTTAAAGTTTAATACTTTGCTAATATTTATACCCACATATAAACCATATGTACCTTCTAACAAACCATAGTTAATAGAGGACAGGGTTTGGAAGGCCGGCAAACTTCAAAGGCTTTTGAGGCTTGCATATTACAGAGTCTTTAAAAAGTGGTTAACCCGCCCACCCCATGTGGATAGGAATCATCGGGTGGTGAGTAATTTCGAAAATGTAGGTTGCTTTTAAACTATCGAAAGAATGCGCGGAATGCGTGTAGGTGAAACAATTAATGCTTAGGCGAAACAGTTATAGGCGAAACAATGCTTGGGTCATTAAATTTTGTTAACGACTTTGTTTATTCGAAACCGGTTTTTGTGACGACCTTTGCCGAAAATTTCTCTTCTTTTCATTGCAGTGAATTATCTTTGTTTACGTCTTTCAAGATGCGCAAAATTTTTCTTCCAAACATAAATTGCAGCGTTTTGATCCCCCTGTGTACGAAATAGCGTGCTTTAAAATTGACCATTTGATGGTATAATCTTGATTGTTTTCTTTTAATTTCCAAGTATGTTTCGTTTTGTTTGAGTCTTTTTTATGACGAAAAGATGAAGCGTGGTTAGCGTATAACGTTCCTTAAATGTAGTCGCTGTCATCATAGGCGTACCGGGCGGGGGGGGGCGGTAGCCCCCCAGTTTTTTGGGCAGTCGGGCAATATTCGATCAACAGTCGGGCAATTTCGGTTTGCAATAAAAAAAATGGGACAAATTCTGTCAATTTTGTCTAAAATTAAGTCAATTTTTTGGCAAATTTTGTGATTTTCGAAAATTTGTGTTATGTTCCGAAAAATATTGGTTGTCCGGAAAATGTTTTTGACCCCTAAAATGGTACACAGACCGAAATTTTTTTGGCGACGGGGGGGGGGCGGGGAGTTCGCCAAATTTCTTTCCGCCCCCCTAATTTTTTCCTTCCGGTACGCCCATGGCTGTCATACCTGTGACATTTATAAGTAGATGATTGACATTAAGTAGTTATGACGTAATGGATATAGATATATATATGTAGGAGGAGACAATTAGATAAGGGCCAGAGAGACTCAACATGGCGTGTGTCTAAACAAACACATGCATTATTACATGGTGTCAGGATGGAATACATGAAACCCCCAAATATCTTACATTTAGAAGGCAACTTAGCTGAAAACTGGCGAAAATGGGAACAACAATTCAATTTGCTTTTAGTAGCGAGTGGAATCGGCGAAAAATCTGCAAAAGTTCAAGCGTCTACATTGCTGCATGTGATAGGAGAAAATGCGTTGGAAGTCTATAACACTTTCACATGGGCGAGCGAAGGCGATGCCATGAAAGTAGATAAAATAATGGAAAAGTTTGCCGCGTATTGTAATCCAAGAAAGAATATAACTTACGAACGGCACGTTTTTAACACGTGAAATCAGAGAGCAGGTGAGCCAATTGATCGGCAATACGTGACAGATTTGCGCACGAAAGCTAAGTCTTGTGAATTTGGTCCTTTGCGACGGGTTAATTCGAGATCGAATAGTCTGAGGAATAATTGACGATAAATTACGTGCAATACTATTGCGGGAAAGCGATTTAACGCTTCAAAAAGCCATGGACATTTGCCGCGCCAACGAAATCAGTTTAGAACAAGCCAAATCTCTTACAAACGCGACGGATGGTTTGACAACAGAAGTAAATGCCCTAAAGAAAGTTCACCAAAGTGAACGCGATATAAACAGTAACAGGAGATCTCAAGATCGAAGGCGAAATTCGTTCAACCGTACATCTAAAATGTCAGCGACAACATGTACAAGGTGTGGCGGTAAACACGATGAACAACAAAAATGTCCAGCTATAGGAGCTACTTGTCATAAGTGCAAAAAACCTAACCACTACTCGAGAATGTGCAGGACTAGAACAAATGAAAAGAACGTTCATAGTCGCGAAGCCGAAGCGAGCACACGAAATAGCGACAGTGAAAGCAATGATAGTTTTTTCATTGGTGCCATACACGCCCAAGACGAAAACAAAGAATGGACGACATCCCTAAAAGTAAACAATACAAATGTTATGTTCAAAATCGATACTGAAGCCGAATGCATTGTGATTTCAAGAAAGACGTATGAGGAACTTAGTAAAACCACCTTAGAAAAATCGCGAACAAAGCTCGGAGCGTTTGGAGGGCAAAAGTTAAAAACAATTGGAAAATTTACAACGTTATGTACATGTATATCGTGACAAATATTGGCCAATTGAGTTTCAAGTCGTAAATCATGAAGTTCCAAATATACTTGGACTTACAACTTGCCTTCAGTTAAATCTTGTAAAACGAGTGTTAACTATAGACAAAAAAGAATGCGTCGAGTCGACGTCCACCGCACCTGAGGACATTTTCGAACAGTACAGTGATGTGTTTACTGGGCTAGGTTATATTAAAGGCGTAGTACACCACATTGAAACTGACCCTACTGTAAAACCGATAATTCACACACCGCGTCGAGTTTCAGCACCCTTGCGACAAAATGTTAAGGACGAACTGGATCGTATGGAAAGTCTCGGAGTAATAGAGCGAGTTCAACAGCCAACGGAATGGGTAAATAGTTTAGTAACTGTCGTAAACCCAATGGAAAAATACGATTGTGTATTGACCCGAAGAACTTAAATCGCGCAATTAAATGTGAACAGTATCCTATGAAAACTATAGAAGAAGTTATCTCGCGAATGCCGAATGCCAAATTCTTCTCGAAGCTTGATGCTACCCAAGGCTACTGGCAAGTACAACTTGATGACGAAAGTGCAACGAAATGTACATTTAATACACCGTTTGGTCGATACCGTTTTCATCGTCTGCCATTCGGAATTTCGCCTGCACCGGAAGTGTTTCAGCGTATTATGTCTCATTTTTTTTATGGCAATGAAGGAATCGAAGTTATTGTCGATGATTTATTAATCTGGGGTGAAACTCGAGAACAACACGATGAACGTTTGAAACATGCATTAGAAAGAGCTTGCGAAGCTGGAGTGAAACTTAGCAAGGATAAATGTGAAATTGGACTACAACAAGTAACTTATATTGGACAT